GTTTAAGAAGAAGCAGAGCGCATTTTTAAATATGAAAGGGAAAGCTCATATGCACTGAAAAATAATGGAATAACAACAATGTGGCATTTAAACAACGCATTTGAAATAAAGTAGTTGTACATAAACAAATAATAGATAGATACTGACATGACCATTCCTGCATATACGAGGTACGCCAAAAATACAGCCCGGGGAAGAACGAGCCTATTAAAGCAGCGGTCCCCAACCCCTGAGCCACGGACGGTAAGGGTCTGTGAGACGTTTGGTACCGGGCCGCGAGAGTTGAGGCTCGGGGTGAAATTTATGGTTTTCAGGGTTTTTATCATTAACTCTCTTTCCCTAGATATTTTCCCATTCAACTTTAATGCATTTAAAAGACCAAAGTACTTTCTGATCTTGATAAGGTTTTGGAATCATAAAGAAGTAAAATGGCAAATACTACTGTTGTTTAAGCTGCAAAACAGTCTAGATGTGAAGGTTGTGCTTTTATACGACAACAATAATCAGTAACAGCCGTAGTAATACTGGAAAAAAGTGCATTTTTTAACATAAAAAAAAAGAAGATCTTGTTTTAGTAATTGTGGCCGTCAAAAATCGTATTAAAATTTCAAACAGAATTGGTTGAACGACATTTGTACTGAAGAGTTAAAAATAGTGGAGTGAAAGCGAGGTGAGTGAGATGGACAGTCTGACAGGAAGAGAAAGATAAAAGTTGAGTCAGCACTGTTGCTTCCGCAATTCTCAAACAGTGCTGACTGCTGACAGACCAAGCAATGGCACCAACAGAAAACAGAAGACAATTACTCATCAGTTTGCAGTCCCTACTCACAGACCCTACCCATCATCAATTAGGAGGCATTTCAGATATTTCTAGCAGGGCTGCAGAGCCTGTCAACGCTCAGCAAGCCGTTTTCTGATGGCAACAAACCACAGAGTCAGAGAATGCCGGATCAGCTGAGCTGAGGCGCACATGGACCACATTTGTGTCACGCTGCAGAGCTTGCGAAGCTTCTTCCTCATCGTGCTGCTGCAGCGTGACGCAACACTTTTGAATAGTCACGAATCAAACAGGATGTCAGGAGACAAGCACAGATTTCTAATCCTGCAGGTACAGACATGAAACCACCGACTGCACGCACCAAAAACGACACAAACGTGTACAAGAATCAGAACAAACAGCGAGCGCTAGAAAGTTTACAACTTCAGGAAATGATGTGCAAAAACTCTTGAAGGTGTGAAAAAGAACTTTTTACCAAAATATCATCCAGGTTCATGCTTGAGTGCAAAAGGGTGCTGCTACCAAGATACAATTCACTGTAACAAATTAAAAGAGGACAGCTTAATGAATGCAGTAGGAGCTTGGACCCAGTAGCAGGGTTTATAAGTCATCATTTAACAAGCGTATTGTAAAAACTTTTAAGCCCTTCATTTTTATATGCAACATTTAACTTGTAGCATTTTCTGTGTGTGAACTGTCACAACCTCTCTCTGCCTAATGGAGAAGCTGTAGCTCAGGAGGTCAGGAGTGGTTCATCCGTAATCGCAAAGTTCGATCTACAATGCGTTCATTGCAGTAGTAGTGTGTGTGTCTGGTGGATAGAAAGCACTAAAGTATAAACAATAAGTGTTTGTATGAAAGGGCCATGTTGTATAAACAGAGCTGAAAAGCACTACATAAGAACCAGTCCACTTACCATTTATCAAGATGTCAGCTTAAATCTAAGGTGGAGCTTAATCAATATTTGGCTCTGTTGGCTCAGCAGTATGAGAAACACACCTCGAAGTGTAACGTAGTGTCTCCTTTTCTAACATTTCTTACTCTCTATCAAGAACATTTAGTTTTTTTCACCGTGTTTTTATAGGTATAAAGAAAAGTCCAGCTTGATCATGTGTCAACCTTGAAAACTGTAACATCAGCACAAATTTAATTTAGGAACCATTTTTCAATAAAGATTAGAGGAAAGTGGGTCAACCAAGTTATTCCATGTAAAAATGTTTGATGACCATTACTGGTTTAAATCTATATTGAGAAAAATATTCCATGAAAGACAACTGACCTTATATCGCCTTTGGGCTTTTGGAGCCTTGACCTGACTTTTAAAAAAATAATTGGG